TAATTTGGTACGTTTAAAAAAAAATTGCATTTTAAATTTTAAAAGGTGCAAATTATTTTTAAATCCAAATATACACAATACCATTTACGAAAAAATAAAACAAAATATAATTTATTTATTTATTTAATACATTGTCATGTCAAACAACTTTGTATATTAATTTAGAATACAATAGAAATATGCTTTATTACCAGTGAAAATTCTACAATTTTATATACTACAAAGGGTATCTCAAATGATTGAAGCATGTGTGTAGATTGTGCATCTCTACTTGTTCAATAATTTTCAACTAAACACTTAAATCACACAGTATATTGCTAAAAGACTCTTAAATTCATTAGACCCGTGTACCCGGCTTCTCGTTTTGCGTCCCACACTCTTCCCCTCTTACTCGTCTATATGTCATGATGATGTCATGTGGATGTTGGCATTTGCTAGAAATTGCCTATTGAATAAAAAAGGACAGGTGTCAACCGTCAACTTAAAACGATGTCTTATTTTATTTCATTTATAATAATTAATTAATTAATACAGAATAAAGTAAGTAAGTACACAAATATTATACTATACACCCAAACAACCCAAAATTCTTGTTAAACCGCTTCAAATTATTTCGTAAAATTACCTTGACGTACGAAAATAAACCAAATATAATATTTAACTTCGTAGCCGAAATCTATCTTGGGGAGTGTAGGATGTGTAAACAAACACACCAAACTTTATATATAGCCCAGGAGTGTACTAGAAAATTGTATACTATGAATATTGTTTTTAAGGAAAATTTGGTAAAGCCGCCCTGTACAATCTGGTGTCGGAACTCTAAAGGAGTTTACACCAGAAAGAAGTCACCCTTGTTCTATTTTTAGACATAGAAAGTGGGTTTGATAATATCTCAATCGAGTCAAGACATAGTGCACAGGCGAGGAAGAAAATCAACAACACAACAGGATGCCATAAACCTCAGAACAACTAAGTGGTGTCTGGAAATGATGAGCAGATTTGTTGGCAAAACCTTTCTCGAAAAAAAAACCAAAAGTTTAGAGAAAAACCTTTGTTGAAAAACAGAACCATTTTATGGCATCACTAATGATGCTCCAAAAAAACGAGGTTCAGAAATGGCTGATAAAGAATCATTAAAATAAATGGAGAGCCACCCAAGGGCAAATCCAGACTAAGAAAATAATCAAGAATATTAATAAAAATAGAGAGTGATGATACATTGGCAACTAGAACAAGACTAAACGTATCAGCTATAATGGAGTTATTAACATTATGTACCGATAATACATATTTTCAACTAAATAATGAATTCTATAATCGAGATTTTGGTCTAGCAATGGGCTCTAGTTTACCTCCATTATTAGCCGATATATTTATGAAAGATTTTGAAAAACATTATTTCTAAACAAAATTTAAAACCCACAGTGTGGTAGAGATATGTAGGTGATGTATTCTCAATATGGCCTCATGGATCAGAGTTGTTGGACACATTCCTAAATGATATAAATGATACAGAAGAGACAATAACATTTACCATGGAAAAGGAATATAATAACACACTACCTTTCCTGAATGTTTTAATCTCTAAGAACGATACTGGATATGAGACTCAGGTGTATAGAAAACCAACACACACCAAGAGATATTTAAATTTTAAACCTAATTACAATATTAATATTAAAAAGGGAACCATTAAATCCTTATACGATAGAGCCAAAATTACTTGTTCTAACGAAAATTCGTTCTTGGGAGGAAAAACATTTAACATCTGTTTTGTTAAAAAATGATTATCCTTTATCGTTTATAAATAAGGAATTTTCAACAATCGATAGAATAGAACAGAACAACTCAGAACATGTTAGAATAAGTGAACATCAATCTTACATTAAAAATTTAGAATTTGATAGATAATAGGATAATGAACATAGGGTTCAATGGAAATATTCAAATATAGTCCTAAAAGAAACAGATGGTAAAAGAATAAAAATCAAAGAAGGGCTTTAATTATGCCAAATGAGACCAATTGTGTCGCAATTTCCTCGGCAGAATGCAGTAGGATCTGGTTACCCATATTGAAAGAGGAAGTTATTAAAAAGAAAATACCAGTATTAGTAAGTCAGTAGCATATAGAGGATACATCATTTATATTTTTTAAGTAACAAACATATAAAATCAGAATTTGTTGTTTATTGAAGGTGAAATATTATATGCACGACCAAGTACTTGCCATGTCGGGATAGTATTATAAGGTTTTTTTCCTGGTTTTTCCCTCATAAGTTACCTACTATGGAATCACTAACAGGAGCATTTTACTGTCATTATGGCATGTGTTTGTCTTTTTAAAGACGAATCACATGCTATGATATTTTCTGACGGATATGCTCAAGTTAAAGTTGATTTCATGTAATATTTCAAGTAAAGTAGATTTCATGTAATATCTTATAAGTAAAGTCGTCCCAGGAGCGCAATTCAACAATATTGGCAATATCATTTTAAATTCGTCTACTTTAAAATGAATAATGTGTATCTAAATTGCTAATATAAATGAGTCAGATAAAATTAAATTATTAGAAGAATTTTTCACTAAGTAAAAAAAAACAAAATTTAATTTAATAATGTTTGTATTTTGAGAACGATTTCCGAAGTGGAAATTGAAACGTCAATAAACGTACTTTAACCTTTAATTGTGGCTTATTCCCATTTAAATAGTAATTATTAATAAAAAAACTCTCGGACAGTGATAAACCTCAATCAACGAGAGATTAAAACCGTCAACAAAGTGGTGATTGTGGTGATTATCGTTTAACAAAAAATACCTATATAAACTAGGTAAGGTAACTGAACCCGGGTGCAGAAAATGCTAAATGGAAGAAAAGACTGCCATAAACATCATATGCCATTTTAATGTTCTTGGTAATATAAGATAGGAGTTCATTGTCCAACTGAGGATTAAACCAGAAAGGTTCTTAAAATTACCAATCAAGAAATTTGTGGTTTTCATTTAGGCCACATGACTAAGTAGAGTTTAATGGGAAAAACAAAGTATAGTACAAAGGTATGGTACTTGGGCCTACAACCAAATGCCAGAGATGTACAAATCTTGGTTGGACTAAGAAGAAAAAGAAAACAATGCCTGATTAATGTGTCCTGTAAAGAAAAAAAAAGAGATTAATCCTGACCGACCTAAAACAGCAATTAAAATTAATAATTTATACACACCAAAAACGAATGTTGACATTAAATTGTTGTTAGAACTCATACTGTACAAGCAAGCGAATTATGAAATAAAGAAAAACAACAAACGCTTTGACATTTTTAAAAAAATTTAAGAAAAATGATATACATAGGTATATTACGAACAACTTCAAAACAAAACTAGAAAGAATTTCAATGAGAATAAAGAGTTAGTAATTATGGTTTTAGATGATTTACTCGTCGATAATAAAGACTATTCGAACCTTGAATACAATGAAATGGGAATCCCAAACTACTGGTAAAAATTAACAAAAAAGTGAAGAGTGCTGTTTTATGATGGTAATATTCTTTTAGTCTTGAAGAAACAGATTAAATACTCATGATAAAGGATCCTCTTTAGGAATGCTACCGGAAGAGTTACTATTGTACAAAAATTTTTATTTAAAAAATTTCCTTTATAAAAGGTATATTAATAAAAAAACCCTATCGGGCTACACCACAGAACTTTTTCGGAATAACTATTTTATCATCACTTTTTATCCACATATTTAGTGGCCTCAAACATGTACATTCAGATAGCACTGATGATGGAATAGTTATTCCGAAAACGTTCTGAAACGTTCGGTTTTTTATTAATATACCTTTTATAAAAGAATTTTTTTAAATAGCGCTGGCTTCTGTCTTAAGTAGACTAAGACTTTTGGTTGGTCAACTACAACAATCGCGGAAATTGTCAAATGTCACTCCCATACGCAAAACGTAAAAAGATGGGAAGAAGAGAAAGGATGTAAACTTGCCAGGGTACTACTAAGTAACCTTGAAGAGTCAACATTAAAGAAGTACTTAAGAATGACCAGGAAAATTCTACGTTTGGCAGTTGGTTTTTTAACTGGTCATTGTCAACTAAGCAAACACCTCCACACACTGGGGCTAGTAGACACGCCTCTATGTAGGAAGTGTGAACGAGAAGACGAAACTGTAGAGCATGTCCTATGTGAATGCCCAGAGTTATCGTTAATACGAGAGTACGCGTTCGGCGAGTCCTGGCCCACACCTGCCCACATAAGTGAGATGTTTCCTGGTGACTTGTCCACCTTCCTAGAAATGGCAGGATGGACAATGAGCTAAGGGTGACAGCTCCCTGGGAGGATGCACAATGGGTCAATTGTGGCCTAAGTGCTGTGAAACTTAACTCGCCCTCCCTACTCTACAGATACATAAGTAGACTAACACATTAAGTTACACTGACTACTTTGTTCGAACTTCCGTCGTAACATGTCAAGATTGTCATTTCAATCAGTTGCTATCATCAAGTCCTCGTAGACACTTTGTCTCAGGACCAGCAACTTCATGTGGAGTCGTACATTGCCATGTTACCAAATCCACTGGTACCTACCTTTAACATCTTAATATATAAGATCAAATTATGTAAACTAAATTTAAACATATAACTTTTAACGGGTTTTTACCCAGATATTTAGTGGCTCAATACATGTACAGTAGTAAGTATTAACCCCATTTTGTATAAACCTTGGTCACGTTCTTTTTAATTAAAGTGGTTATATGCTTTTTTGGACACTGATGATGGAACATGAAGTCCAAAAACGTATTGTTATTGTGATATAGCCCGATTGGGTTTTTAAATTATATAGGTACCGTTCATAAAAGATTTTAAACATTTTTGTGATACATGGTATACAGCCGACTACAGAAATTTAGTTTCCTTGTGAATTTTACTATAATACATCTTCGAGGTAGTAAACGTGAGTGATATTGCATAAATAAATTAAAAATTTAATACTTACTGTAAATGTTCCAAGTCCAATTGACGGGATTTGGTGTCCCCCATTATATTGGTATTCAGTGGCAAAACTGAAGGATGTTAAATATATAAGAAAAACACCTAATATATCACGAAACATGATCAAAATTGAAATGTTCCTAATATTATAATTGTATCAGCCATACAACGGCAAATATATAATAAATATTAAATCATTGAATTTTAAGGTCATTATTTAATCTATTAAAGGTTAATTGTAACTATAAAAGTTAAATTTATAAATATCTTTAAATAATTAAAAAACAAAATATTGGAGGTGATAGAAAAAGATGATAAGTTATAAATAATAAGATCGATATATTTACAATGGTCAATAACCAATGTTATAATACATAAAAGCATTTTATGTTGATGTCACTCTCTAATCAATAAAGGTTATAGTAACATATTACACAAGAATGTACAGGTTAAATTTAAAGGTTGAAAATTAAAAATAAATTGTAATGATAATTACATTTTTAACTAACTAATGTTTGACGTTTCGATTTTCATTTAGAAAATCGTTTTCAAAAAAAAAGTTTAAAAATTCTACGAATTATAACCAACGACACAGTTGTTGTTTGTAGGTTATGTTTATCAAAATTGTTGGTTTACTTATATATTTGTGTATTGTGTGTTGCATATCTATTGTATGCAGAATGTATTGTTAAAATGTTCTTGTTATTGACTTCTTTTAGTATTGGCAATCAAAGTCTACTATATTCTGCTGATGGTTTTGCCAAACATTTTTCTTCATAAGTAGGATGAGAGCTGCTTCTCATTTTTTTCTTTCCTTTTTTTATGTCTGTTTCTTGGCAGGCTATTTTTATTGTCCCAGGCATATTTGCGTAGCTGGGATTTGTTGAAGTCTCTGTCCTTGATGTACATTTCATGCTCGTTTATCCTGACCCTTAGTGGTCTTGCGGTTCTAGAGATTTTTTAATTCATAGAATATTTTATAGATGCAGTTCTCTAATCTCGGTGTGCTGATTGTTTTGAATGTTGTTATATTGTATTTGTTTACTAAGTAAGTCGGTTTTCTATATATACTTTGGTTGCATATGCTGTGTCTTCTTTTGTGATTAGCACATCCAGAAAAGGAAGTAAATTGATGTTTTCTTTTTCCATGGTGAATTTTACTTATTCTTCTGTATTGTTGATGTTCATCAGAAATTTATTCAGTTCTTCTGTTCCGGTAAGCCAAATTGAAAACACATCATGTACATATCTTCACAATACATCTTCTTCTTCTTCTTCTTCTTCCTTTTGTACTATTGGCGTGCATACCAGTGCATTTGCCAGCAGATTTTTTGTATTGCATTTGGTGTTGCTAATAGCAATATGCAATACTGTTTGTAAGATATTAATGAAATAATATATAGTAAAAACATATAGCACAAAATTTAAATTTGGTCTGTATGGGGTAATGACGGAGCATTATGCAGTCTAAAAAGTTATCTAGAGTTATAATAAATCCGAATAGGTACAAATTTGTGTTGTTTTTTTTATAAACATGTTTTATTTATATGTTCATCTTATTTACGTTTAAAAATTGATTAAAAACTTCTAATTGTTTTTTATTAATATTTTGTAGTATATCTTTGATGCTAGAAGTGTCAGTCGCTTCTGTAGCTTGAAACGCATTCTGTATATCCCATGAATTGCTTTTATTAATTGGATAATGAAGAAAAAGTGATCTAGATGATTTCAATGTTAATTTGATGTAAACGAGTTCCAAATATAAAATGTCGCGTTCCCATTCTTATAATATTCGTTAAGTCTGTTCTATAAATATATGAAAACTTTTTAAACCATAGTGTATCTGGGAATGATTGTTATATTTCTTCATATCATTTCTTATTTAAATGAATAGAGTTTTTACAAAATTGCAAAATTTTTGTGATTTTTTTTATTCTAGTTTTCAATTGTGTCAATATGTCGTTATAATCTAGTTTTATATTGGTAGGCACTTTGATATTACTTCCAATTTTTGCTAGTTTATTTACATATTCATTTTCTTTAATGCCACTTAATCCGATTTGTTTTAATTTATCAATTACACTCATAGAAGAATCACTAACGCGAATACCTTTTGAAATATTTTTTCAGCCACACACTATCCCCTTTATTTATTGCAATAATTTCTGCATTACATATATTTAATTCAGAAGTTTTGAAAAATAGGCGTAGTTTGAATATATTTTATATTTATCTATATATATATATATATATATATATATATATATAAAGTTTTATTTTGAGAATGCAGTCATTTAAGTAGGGCAGGATAAGTTAAACTCTTTGTTCTTAAATCAAGCTTTCGCAAAATGTATTTGCTTCATCAGGATATGCTAACATATGTTATGGTAAATACAATGAAATTAGAATTAAAAAACATTGTATAAAACTAATATAAAAACTTACAACATGAGGTTAAACCATTAAATTATTAAATTCACAAAAAATTCTTAACTTATCTAAATTATATTTTTATGTAAGTACAATATTTTAATTTTGAATATATTATGACATTGATTATTATAATGATGTTTGATTTATGTCAGAAAGACACTCGTGTCTGTTTTTGTTATTGATAACTAGCTCTAGATTGTTATTATGCTTAAATAAAAAGTGGCGCATTTTTGAAAATATAGTATTTATAGTCAGAAAATCATATATTAGAAAATTAAAGTATTAATTTTCTAATATATGATTTTCTGACTATAAATACTATATTTTCAAAAATTTAAATATTCATATTTGGCGCCATTTTTTACTTGTTTGTGCATATAGTACCCACCTACATTGATAGGAGTTGATTTCATACATCCGAGGACCACTCCTAACGTCAAATTGTATTTTATTTAAATGATTGATTTACTTGTCCAATTATTGTGTTTCCAAAGTCTCAATGAGATTTGACCACCCCATAGTAGGCCAGGAGAAGTGTTGCTGGGTCGGCCCCCACTAAAATCTGCTGAATGACCTCATTATATTAATACCTTTCAGAGCTTTGCTTGTTATGGTTTCTATATGGTTCTTCCAATTAAGCTTTTTGGTTAAGATCACATACCCAGGTATTTGATTTAACTTTTATATGGTATCCGTTGTTGATTTATGTTTATTGATTTTGTTTTTTGAGAAGCAAATTGCCTCACTATTACTAACTGATATATCAATCATTATTGTCTGATAATACTAAATTAATTGCCGTCCTATAGAATGAAGGATTTGGGGTTTTGCATAATATAACAAGGTCATCTGCATATGACAGCAGTTTGACACTATCTGAGATAATGCTATAAATGGATTGTATGTACAGGTTAAATAGTAGAGTACCTAAAGGTGATCATTGAGGTAATCCTTGTGATGTCTTAGCTGGTCCTATTAAGTTTCCTTGGTTGTCTTTGACAAAGATGGTTCTATTTTTTATGAACTGAAATGTTAGATTTATTAAATCTATGAGGATGTTGAATCCTTTCATGATCTTATATAATAAAAAATGTTAAAATGATCATACGCAATCTTAATTTCAAGGACAATTGCTGAAACTTGATTTTTTTTCTATAAAAGCTGCTTGAATATAGGATGTAAGATATGCAAGGTTATCATGTATACCCATATCGGTCCTAAAGCCAGTTTGGAATAAATTAAAGATTTTTCTATTTTTTGCTATTCATGCAATTCTATGTTTTATTATTTGTTCTAGTATTTTTCCTATACATGAGAGTGCTATAGGTCGATAGATATCTGGTAAGGTTGTTTCTTCTTGTAAATTTAAGAAATTAAGAATTATCTGGGTTTTCCAGCTATTGGGGATGGATACACCTAAAAGGGAAGCATTATAGATACTCAATAGAAATTTAATGCCGATGTCTGGGAGGTTTTTTTTCATTCAATAGTTATTTTGTCTATTTCTGACATTAGCAAATCAATATATTATAGTCTCTGCGAAGGAAAAATTTTAGTTTGGTAAATGTTTTATTGTAGAATTTTTTAATGATTGACCAGATATATGTCGTGTCAAAAATGAGCAAATTAGTATTTTTAAAGGAAGAAATAAAAACTACTCTGTATTTTTTATATTGTTTATATTAAAATAAGTATAAAAAATATAGTTTTCCTATTAAAATCATTAGTATCATGTAAAAAAACACTAATCGTTTTCGCCGAAATTAATATATAAAATTAATACGATTTTTTTATATAAGATAATATTAATAATAATTTTAAATAATTACTCATATATACACACTATATATATATATATATATATATATATATATATATATATATATATATATTATATATATATATATATATATATATATATATATATATATATATATATATATATATATATATATATATGTAGAAATTCATCTTTAATGCTGCTATTCCCTGTGTAAAAAATAAGTCATATTTATACACTAGGTACAGGTTTACTTCTTCATATTATCTGAAAAATACAAAATCACATAATTTCTTACATATTTTCTTAATGGAATAAAAAATAAGAACGTAATTTTTTTGTTAGTAAAATAATGAGGAACTAACTTTTGAAGTTTTGAATTTTGAATCATTTGAATTTTTAACAAAATTTAACTATTTCAACTACGTTTTCCACCGCAACTGACTAGAGAAAATGATATAGCTTCTTTACGGAAAAACTGCTTTCTTCATATACGAGATTTAAATTAAAGATGTATAAAATCATTACTATGACATTGGATAAAGTTAAAATTGCTACCTTCTGGCTAGTAAATCCTTAGACTTCTTGTTTTAAAGATATTTTAAATCCTTTGTTTATAAAACTCAACCAGACGATATTATTGAAATTAAAAGCCGAAATCTGAAGCACGCCGTTTAATCACATACTATAAAGTTTTCCATCAGCAAAATTGAAAAAAGTAGGTGCTTTATTAAGCAAAATAACTAAAAGCTACCGTGTGACGTATAGAAAAATTGCCAATTTTCAATTTACATTTTGTATTTAATATTTTATATCACCTTCAGTAGTGTAACATATAGAGAAAATAATAGTAACATGTAGACCTTGTAAGTTGCCAAAATATATTTTATGAATTTTACCTGCTATTGGTAGCTTTTATGATGTTGGGAATTTCAGGTCGAGA